ACATGAACAGACAATTCACAAAATGGCAAGAGCAAAGAAACATGAAACATGACCACCCTCGCTAAAATAGAGGGGACGGAGTTAACAGACATAACAGCAGCACTTGGACACCATTTTTCCTCCATCAATCAATTTGGTAAAGGTTTTTTTTAAAGAAAATAATTCCCAGGATTTGCAAACAATTACTGTTAGAAAGGTAAATGGCCTTTCTTAAAGCAACGTGGCTGTGTGTATGAAGAACTGTAAGAATATTCATTCTGGAATACAATATTCTGGAATAGCATATGCCAGAAACAGATTCAAGAAGATATAGGAATTTAGTACAAAGTGACATTTTAAGTAAAGAATAAGACAGATTTCCTTTTCTGACTATACTGAAGACAGGATAACCTAGATAATCTTCACTTACAAAAATATTTAGACATAGTTGACAAAATATAACAAAATGCCTGAGCTCCCAAGATAAAAAGGGAAGACCCCAGGGGTCACAGCCTGTAAGGGAATAATCTAAGTCTCCTGGTCTAATGTCCAGTTGGAGACAGGTCACCAATCTTACAGGCTGTGTGAATGTGGGAGGGGCAGTTGGATCTGAGTCTTCTTGAAAATCTGAACCTTGAGGCCAGGTACGGTGGCTCACGCCTGCAATCCCAGCACTTTGGGAGGCCGAGGCAGGAGGATCACTTGATGTCAGGAGTTCAAGACCAGTCTGGCCAATATGGTGAAACCCCATCTCTACTAAAAATACAAAAATTAGCTGGGTGTGGTGGTGTGTGCCTGTAATCCCAGCTACTCGGGAGGGTGAGGCAGGAGAATCGCTTGAATCCGGGAGGTGGAGGTTGCAGTGAGCTGAGATAGCACCATTGCACTCCAGCCTGGGTGAGGAGGGTGAGACTCCCTCTCAAAAAAAAAGAAAAGAAAATCTGAACCTTGGGTGACAGAAATTAGTCATAGTAGCCTTCTCGCATTGAGAAAAATCTGATCCTTGCTTGATCTAACTCTTCTAAAGACCAATGGTCTCAACCTCTGACAAAGATTCTCTGATTGACCAGACTTTTGTCAGGCTTCTGGATCTTCTTCTGAGCCCATCTGCCCTTCCTTGCAAGATCCTGAGTCATTATGGCAAGATTTCCCAACCTGCATATCTGACCGGGTTCCTCGTTCTTCGCTGTCCCCCAGGGGATGTTTGATCACCATGACCTGTCTTCAGCAGGATGACACTGACACAGGCCTTCTGTGTCAGTTTAGCAGAATCCCCCTTATTCCTGATGATTCCTCTTACTTTTTCCATCCTTGGCTATAAATCCACACTTGCCATCACTATATTTGGAGTTGAATCCAATCTTTCTTCCCCACTGGAAAATCCATTGCAGTGGGCCATCTAGCTATTGGAATGGTCCTGAATAAAGGCTGCCTTATCATGCTTTAACAAGTGTTATTGAATAATTGTTTTAACATCTCTGAGTCTCTGTCCACCTGGAGAACCGCTACAGTAACACTCAGTGGGGTACCTGTGTCATCTGTAAAGCACAGTATGTTGTCATGACAGATAGTCTGAACTCCAAGAGGTTGTTCTTTCGTCTTTGTATAGTCCGTCATAGATCAATTTGGCAGCAGGTCTATCAATATTTGGAATGTGACTCCACATCTAGGAAACTATCCCTCAAATAACAGGATATGCATAAAAGTTCTCTATCAATCATAAATGTACAGGGACATTCGATATGCCTTTATTTATTTATTTATTTTTTGATACGGAATCTGGCTCTGTCGCCCAGGCTGGAGTGCAGTGGTGCGATCTCAGCTCACTGCAAGCTCCGCCCCCTGGATTCACGCCATTCTCCTGCCTCAGCCTCCCGAGTAGCTGGGACTAGAGTAGCTGGGACTACAGGCGCCCGCTACCACACCCGGCTAATGTTTTGTATTTTTAGTAGAGACGGGGTTTCATTCTGTTAGCCAGGATGGTCTTGGTCTCCTGACCTCGTGATCCGCCTGCCTCAGCCTCCCAAAGTGCTGGGATTACAAGCGTGAGCCACTGCGCCCGGCCTTATTTGTAATAGGAAAAAATATTGGAAGCTGTCCCATGTCTGATGAGAGTAAACACTATGCAGACATTAAAAAGAATGAAGTTGATCTCTCTGTATGAAAATGGAAAAACTGTTCACACAGCGCATTATTTACTTATTTTTATTTTTTATTTTTTGAGACGGAGTCTCTGTCTCCCAGGCTGGAGTGCAGTGGCACGATCTTGGCTCACCACAACCTCTACCTCCTGGGTTCAAATGATTCTCCTTCTTCAGCCTCCCGAGTAGCTGGGATTACAAGTGCGCACCACTGTGCCCAGCTAATTTTTGTATTTTTAGTAGAGATGGGGTTTCGCCATGTTGGCCAGGTTGGTCTTGAACTCCTGACCTCAGGTGATCTACCTGCCTTGGCCTCCAAAGTGCTGGGGTTACAGGCATGAGCCACCACTCCTGGCCCACACATTATTAAGATTTTTAAAAAAGCAAGCTACAGAACAGCCCTGTCCAATAGACAGAATGCAAGCCACACAGTGACTTCAAATTTCCTAATAGAAATATTTTAAGACATAAAAATAAATAGGTGAAATTAATTTTAAGAATGTATTATATTTTATTTTACTCAGTACACCTAATAT